TGCACAAAATCTATTTGAAAACATGATAAAACAGGATTCTGTTGCCAGAATGGAAGGGGGACAACTCATATCGAGTTATACTTATAAAACCCAGGTTGTGTGTGTGTGTGTTCGTTTATATATGGGATCGGATTTTTTATATTTTTCAACAGATTTCAATAAAACTTCACTTTTTTTTTTGGCTGGTAGTGTTTCTTCTTGTCTTGTACACTTTTTTCTTTATTTTTACATTCAGAATGCTTTAAAAATTCCATTTACCAGACAATTGTTTATAATAAAATTCTATTCAATCGATAGACTCATAACAATTGAAAACAATGTTTTTGTTTGGGTTTGACCAATTCGTAAAAAAAAACCAAGACATGCATGTCCGTCAATCTTAAACAATAATCTTTGTCAATTTTATTTTTCAGTCTTTATGATGGTCGATACTTGATCTATCTCTTACTGTTACATCCCTGGGCAACTGCTAGTATTTTTATAAAATAATGAATAAAAAAAAAAACTTTTTCATAGTTATTTATAAAATGGTAAATAATCAATATTGCATTGTAGATGGTTTACATATTTTGATAATTTTGTAATTTTTTAAAAATGTTTGAATAAAAAGATTTCTTTTCACATATTTTTTAAATATTGTAAATTTGCCACTATATGTGTTGGAATAAAAAAATAAATGATTTCTTTTCTCCTGCTGTCATTTTTAGACTAAAAAACTGCCCTCCTTCTCATTCCAGCCCTTATAAATATGCAAAACACCAACAAGCCACAATCATGTTTAGAATGTGTCACGAAAAACCAACTCAAATGATTTTAAGATCACAAAGCTCTCAGTTCAAGAGATTTGCTCTCCGCATATATACAACTTGCTTGGGATAACCACATGCGTGAACTCGTGTCTCGCTGTCATGATCGCACACCTTGCAACTTCGGGGCAGGCCTCTTCTGCGGGCACTCCTTCTGGCGGATGACAGGGTCCTCATCCTTGGATGAACTCTCATCCGTTGAGCTACCATCTGCCTCTGGACAGCTCCACGTTGACGTCCGTAGGTAGAGTACTTGTTTGAGGTAGAACTGATCCGACTTTAAATACACCACTCGACCATCTTCAAAATCATCTGATGACGGTTTTTTAACCCTACAACTGGCCGCAAGTCTTTAACATGATGACATTCGCCATCAACCAGCACTGACTGCGGGCTGATAATCTTTATAACATGCCCCATTCTAAGTAACCGTCAACCCACACTACATCACCAATTCTGTATTTAGCTTGCGTCACTCCCACACTTTCGCGGTCCGTATTCGTTTGAAAATCGAGATCGAAGTGAGCTTTTGCCCTTTTGCTCTATGCAATCCTGTCAGTTCCAAACGCAGAGTGTGCTTTTTTGCTCAATGTCCTTTTCTGATCCACAGCAAGGGCACACTTTTTCAATCGCAGTGGAAGAATCCGTTAAGTGATCTCGCATAATTAGCAGACCAGTTCCACCTTTTCGATCCATTCAACCACAGACTGTCCACTCATATCACCACTGAATTCGGGGATCAGTTTTATGTCATCTTACACAAAAGTAAATGCCGAAATAGCTTGTGTTGGAATGTGTCACGAAAAAATAAATGATTTTTCTTTTTTCTCTCCTGCTGTCAGTTAGCCCTTTACATAGAGCCTGGTAACTCTATGCAAAACACCAACAAGCCAGCTACCAATCACAGTTCCCAAGCATGCCCACCTCCACTTGGGGGTTTCAAGTCGACCGACCAACTCCTTACACTCTGTATTCAGTTAGGTGACTGCTTGGAAATTCTGTAAGCTGAAAGCTTGGATGTGTGGGTGGTGTAATTGATAATGGTTTAAAATTGTTAAGTGGAGAGCAAAGTTCTAATTCTTGTTGGGTTCACTATATTCACTTGTGTGTTAATATCCTTGGGAAAGATAGGAATCCACATCCCCTAGCTATGGGTTAATTAGTAACATTTGTATCACTAAACCATTATTATTTTTTTTTTTAAAAATCTTACAATCTAAAAATATTTTCAGGCTTTAAATAACATACAAAGGATTGGTAAGCCATAAAAACCATTAATCAATTCAGATCTGAAAAGTGGGGATACTTCTACACAACTCTTTGGAAACGTTTATCTTAAGTCTTATTTCTTGGAACACTTAGTCAAAGATGTTGATATTTTTTTCTTTTTGTTTAAGATTACAATGGGCACAATAATAATTTTTTTCATATTGCTTTAGATTAAATATGTAGAGAATTATTCAATGCAATGTTGGGGTTACCATCTGTAGAGGTACGTCTGGATTAGCTACAATTTGTAGAGTGAATTTGGTTGCGTGTTCAAAGTAATGTAAATCTTCAACACATTTAATTACTTCTTCAGTGAATTACAGAGCAATGAACAAAAATGATAAATAACACAAAACAATATTATATAATAAGAAACCAATTTTCATTTATATAGCATAAGAAAATACAATGATTTATACTGGAGTGAATTCAAATTTGTAAATGAAATCTGTGTGATGTTTGTTTAAATCTTTGTATAAACTCTTTCTGAAGTGTTTGGAATGTAGTTTAAGTGTAAAAGTATAAGTTGTGAAAGAAAGTTTAATCTGTTTATGTTGAATTTAAACAGTTTTGTGCAATGTAAATTTTTAAGTTTTGGAATAAATTTACTTGTAAAATTTATCTTCCTTTTGACGGTGGTTTTTTTTTTTTTTTTTTGTCAAGAAATAATGTTGAATTGTTTGAATCTGTTTATTCTGTGATTGAAACAAAATAATAGTTTTGCTCTGTAATAAACAAAATTTTCAATGATGTCTGAGTTTGGAATAAATTTAAAAAAATTCAGATGATAAAATTTATTTGTTTTGAACTAGTTTGTAGTTTTTTTTTTTTTTTTTTTTTTTTTGTGATAGTCCAGAAAATTAAAAATATTTAACTTGTTGAGATTGTTGGTGATACCCACTTGCATGTTTAAACCAATTCAGGAAAATATGTATGAAATAATGTTCTGTTTAGATTGAGAACTTTTAAAAATCCCATAGTGATCCAAGATGGCAATTTTAACAAAATCTGCTCCACTTTTAGATGGCTTTAATTTTAAAAAATCCCAAGTGATCCACTTTTTAGATTGAATTTTAAGATAGTGACCAAATGATGTCTTTAGAAGAGATTTGGATTTTTAACAAAATGTTAAAATGGCTTTTAACTTTTAAAAAATTCAGATGATAAATGGCTTTTAGATTTGTATTTCCACTTTTAGATGGCTTTAGCAGAGATTTTAACAAAATCCCATAGTGATCCACTTTTAGATGGCTTTAGCAGAGATTTTAACAAAATCCCATAGTGATCCCAGATGGCTTTTAGTGAGATGAGTTTGCCCATGCCACTTTTAGATGGCTTTATTTAACAAAATCCCATTTCCACTTTTAGATGGACGTGTGATTTTAACAAAATCCCATAGTGATCCACTTTTAGATGGCTTTAGCAGAAAATTAGTGATCCAAATGGCTTTATATTTAACTTGATCCATGAGATGAAAAATAACAAATGTGATCCACTTTTAGATGGCTTTAGATGGTGATCCCCTCTTTAGATGGCTTTAGCATGTTTTTTATGGCTTTAGAAGAGATTTTAACAAAATCAGTGATCCACTTTTAGATGGCTTCTTGGAAACAAAATCCCATAGTATCCAGCTTTTAGATGGCTTTTGTTTTAACAAAAATATGATCCACTTTTAGATGATCCACCACTTTTAGATGGCTTTAGCAGAGATTTTACAAAAAATCCCATAGGATCCACTTTTAGATGGCTTTACAGAGATTTTATATAGTGATCCATTCTACAAAATACCACTTTTAGATGGCTTTAGCAGATTTTAACAAAATCCCATGAATATAGATGGTAAAGATTCAAAAATTCTCTTTATTTTTTATTTTTATCTTAAATTTTTTTCAAAGTTAATAGGGAAGACCAGTTTACTATGATTCCACTATGCAAGCCAAAACATATGTTCATATGAAATGAGTTCTTCAAATGTAAAATTGTTTTTTAATGTAGAGATCTTTTTTCTTATACTGCTATCAATTAAGCACTTCAGTATCTGTCTATATTTCTGAGATGAGGTATTATGTGCACTATTTACATTATTGGGCCTATTCTCCTCAGCTTTGTCACCATATTTATTACAATATTTCAGCTGATGTACACTCCGGCCTTTTTCAGGTGGTTGGAATGTCAAACTGAACCCTTTATTTCGCTCACTGGGGTAGACTGTTCTAGTTCCACGTGCCATGTTTTAATGGATGTCAGTTATCAATTATCTCCTGTTAATTCCCCTCTCCAAGTTCTCCACTGCTTTAACCGGGTATTAAACTCACACTCTTTGGGTCCTGTCACTGGATCTAACTAACCCCTTTATCCACTGTGCCATGTGTCCTTGAGGACATCTGTGTATGAATTTCTGGGTATTATAAACCTAATGTCTTCAAAACAGTCTACTCCAGTGAGCAAAATTAAAGGGTTCAGTTCAACATTCCAACCACCTGAAGAAGGCTGGAGCCTACAATGGCCAAAATGTTGTAATAAATATGGCGACAAAGATGAGGACAATAGTCTGAATAATGTAAATAGTGTAGGCATTTTAGTTTATGAATTTTGAAAATTAATTTTTTTTTTTTTTTACGTTTTCATTTTCAGATTGATTTGTTTTCTATAGGTTATCAAGTCATTGCAGGTTATTTAAAGCAAGAAATATTTTTAGATTGTAAGATTTTATTATTTTTTTAAATTTTCTTTTTTGAGATAATAATGGTTTTGTGATAGAAACCTTACAAATTAACCCATAGCTAGGGAAAGGAGAGGTGAATTCATACCTTTTGCAAGGTTATTTTCACTTAAGTAAATTTAATAAACCCAATGGGAATTGGAACTGCTCACCGATTAACAATTCAAAGCCATTATCCATTACACTACCCCCGCATCCAAAGTTACAGCATGTGGTATTCTCAAGCGGTCACCCATCTAGGTACTGACCAGGCTTGACGTTGTTTAACTTCGGTGATTGTATAGGAACAGGTGTTACAACATGATGTAGCTGTAAGCCTCTACATTTTTCAGAAATCATTTGTGAGCCTATTTGTTTTGGCTTCCGTAGGGGGGATCAATTTACAATGGATTTGTATAGCAAATTGGAACCCCTATTAACTTTTCTTAAATTGAATCAAAGTTGTTTTTTTATGTCCCTGATCTGGAGTGTTTAATCTATAGTAATATGATGAAAAAAAAAATGATTATTTCTGGTCACGGTGTCTATTGTAAAACTTTAAAAACTGATTCCAAATGTGGTCAGTCTAGCACTTTTCAAATTCGGAAGTTTATTTTTTATTTAGGGTGTTAAACTAGCTGAAATGACATTGATATAAATAACTTGTTTTTAGTATATTTTGTTGATTGTGATTAATCTGGTACATCCTCAAGATAACTTTTTCTTTTTTTTCTGTAATGATGTTCTCAATGTGAAGATAGTACCCTATAGTCTACACTCACAATAGTGTGCAGGTTCTTACACATTGTTTTGTAGAAGGCATTCTTCTATGTGCCGTATTACTTCAGAACGTGGGCGATCATGGCTCTCCACGACTTCCTATTCTTTTGTAGTTCTTAGTAAGGTTTATCTTTTTGCCCTTACTCCCAGTCTCTGTTCTGCCATTCACGTTTAGTTTACTGTTTACACAAGCTCATTAGGTAGATAATTGGCTATTCCCCCTTGCCTCTTTTGCTTTCAATATGCACTGTGAATATCAAATTCTCCAATCCCTCTTTCATCATTATTGTGTATCCTAAAAGATTTCATTTCTTTCCGATTTTAAGTAAGCGTTTATTTTCATTTATTTATTTATTTTTCTATTTTCTTTAAAACTTTCAGCTTCTCGTCGGTGTATATTTCTTAGTCACAGGATGATATTTCGACATTATCTTCTACCCGGTGTTACCAGTCTTCCTTGAGAATCACCTTTTTAACTCTTTGTTTAACGAGGATTGAAACGCAAGCGTCAACTATTGGTGTGAAAGATAATGAACTCAGAAATCAAACTAGTCGGTATCACTTCATACTAAAATAATGTAGTGTAAGGGAGATAATTCTTATAAAATAATCATGGGTTTTCCCCCTTGAAAATTTTTGCAGTTTTTGTTTTTAAAAAATTGTTTAAGAATTCAGATATCATACTAAACAAGATAAATAAATCTTAATAATAGAGAATGAAAATTAACATCATGGTTGATTAAAATTAAACGAACAGACAAAAAAAGTGTATATTTTGTACAAAAAAAATGCTGTGAAGTATGTAGTATTAATTTATATATGAACATTTAAAAAACAGATACTATATTCTTTTTTAATCTTTTACAAAAGCCATTTTCCCTTTTGTTTATATATGCCTCTCTTACAGAAATCTTCAAATTACTTCACCACAGTGAATAATATTACAAATGATATATATATATATATATATATATATATATATATATATAAAATATTAATGATAATACAAGAGAGTCACAGTCTTTAGATGCTTATATGAAATAAGCTTTGGAGTAAAGGGCTGTGAAAAATGAAAACACATTAGATAGACATTTGGGAACTCTTTTCTGTCTTCTTGATAATAAAGGTCACTAAAATATTTTATATAAATATGATTTTTTTTTTATGCTAACTGTAAGTTCTATGCTAACAGTTTTTTCTTTTGCACTTGCTTGTGAAATTCTCTTCCTTTACAGTCAACTTTGATCTTCAAAAATTTAAATGCAATGTCAATTGTTATCTTAATTCCTCTTCTTCTATTGTTTTCTTTCCTTAATAATGTTTTTCTTTTTTTCATATTCTCTCACTCTCGGTAGCCCTTTACGTCTTAGTGGCTTTATTGCCTTGCTTGGGGTGAAATGATTAAATATTGAAATCTGCAAAAACTTCATAGTTTGCTCAGAAAATTATTTCTGTCACAAATTAATAGAAATTTTTAACAGTATTTAAAAAAAAAAAAAAAAAAATTAATTTTTAAAGAGCATATTTATGTTTAAACCACCAAAATTATTCCAGTATCATTTCTTAAATATTATTTATTATGAGTGTGTGGTTGAGTGTTTAGAATGTTCACCTTTTGACAATGAGAACCAGGTTCTAATCTCACAGAGTTGATTTGTTAGGGAGGTGACTTCTTGATGTTATCGGACTGGGGGAGGGGATCACAGTGTGCGACCTCATTGGAAAGTGCCTAAAAACTACTCCATGGGTTGATTCAATCCTTGTGAGTGAAATTGGGTAGATGGAACTCTTTGGTGGCCGTTGATGGTTATGCTAGCATGCAAACTGTTGATGCTGCTAGATAAGAGTCTGTCTTGCTCACCTTCTCATACATTCATTCCCTCACTCAGGTCTGCATGGGCATTTGTAACAGGGATTGGCTAGCTGCCCTCGCAGACAGGTGTGCTTGGAAATAAAAAGTTATTTATTACTCCCAGATTTTTATAGTTCTCATTACAAATTATATCAGGCATGGAAGAGACACAATAATTTTTTTTTTTTTTAATTCAAATACTACACTGCATTAAATGTACTGGTATTATGGATAGGAGGTTGTCCAAATTTGGAACCTGTCCTTTAGTTGATCCATGTTGTAGTAAGTATTGATTAATTCCAGTACTAAAAATCTTGGAATATACTTTACTGTTATCTTAGATATTTGAACTTTTACAGGTACATTTTTGTTACAATTAGAAATTGCCATATATGATTATTTATGGTTTATTTTGGTAAATAAAAATAAATTGACATAAAGAATAACATATGAATCCTCAGCACTGGCTTAATTTTTTCTATTTTTATTTTTGTCATATCACATGACAGATTTGTATTTCATAGTTTGTTTTTTTTACACAAACCATTTGTAGAGCAGTTACTTTATTTTTTTAAAATTTTTTTAAAATTACCTTTCTGGGTTCTGGGGATGAATTGATTCTTCAATTTTCACATTAAGCTCAATAAGGGTTCTTTGTTCCCTATTTCTGCTTTCTTAATCAACTTTCCAAATTTGGAGAATTATCCACCTTGAGAGTAGTTTCAGGGATTGCTCCTCTCTTAAACTCCAATTTACTTTACATCTCGCACCATCACTCCACACAGGTGATGCAAAATTCTCTCTCTTCCTCCTTCATTCTCATCATTCAAACTCAGCCTACCTCCCAGGGCAGGCATAACTGTCTTTGTGACAAATCAAATTTTTAAAGCGTGTGGGCGAAAGGATGTTTTATTCTAGTCATTAATTTCAATTCTCTTAATTCCTCAAGAAAGAGATAAAATTATTTCTCCACTCCTGGACTGATCTATGTCTAGCAAAAATATAAACCAGATCACCTGCTCGTCAATGACAGGATCTGTTTTCATAACTTTGATGCTCAAAAAGAGTTCATTCCTTGTTTACATTTCCCTAAGTTTCCAATTTGTTTTCATATTATATTGTTCTGTAACTTACATTGAGCTCTCTTTGAATTAATGTCCTTCTTGAAATTATCACTACCAATTACAAATTGGTATTATATATATATTAATAAATATACATATACCTACGTTTAGGTGTGTAACTTAAATTTTGCTAGTGATGGGACAACACCAATATTTTTCCCTGATTCAGATATCTACAATGATTAGAATTCATTATTTTCAGGCCCTACAGTTGGTTTGAGAAACTTAATGAATAAAGTACATTTATTAATAAAACATTTAATAGAAAAATGAAAAAAAATTTTTTTTAAATTGGGTAAGAGTTTAAGCATTAAAGAGAATGATTTCTTTATTTAAATCACTTAAGTTAGCTACAATTGACATATTGCTTTACTTTGGTTATCATCAAAAATCTTAAAAACCTTCTAAACTACACTTATCATAATTGGGGTCTGAAAATAAACATCGGATAAATTTATATTTTTCACTGTTGCATAAAAAAATATTTCTAATTTTCTAAATTGTATAATTTGTAAAGATTTAACTAATAATGGTTTGCTATTGATTGTAAAATAAAAAAAGGATCTATTTTTTTATTCACCTTTTTAAGTTTTAACAAGCAAAGGCAACATCTAAATATTACACAATCTCTTTAAAATTTTATATGTGGCATTTTTCAATGAATGGAACAAATTTAGGGGTGACAATTCAATTTCAGCATGCATTTCAAAAATGAGAGACAGCTGGCTATATGTATTTGAGGATACCTGTCTACTAGGGTGGCAATCCCTATTGCAGACGCTCGCTCAGGCACATTTGTGTTTGTTCAGCACCCACAGAGCCCACCTGTGGTTTATACTGCAACTATGCTGAGCAGACCATAGTTATAGTTTCTGGGAGAGAGAGAGAGCATGTTATCTAGCGTGATCAATAATTTGAACAAAGCCAGCACACTCAAACCCCTCTGTCATGATGACTTGTGATTTTGTGCTAGAACAGCTATTGACACTCCCCACCCTCGTGATCAGTCTACCCAATTTCACTCACAAGGCTTGGGTCAATCCGTGGTATGGTTTTTCAGGCACTTCCCAAAGATGCTGCATGCTGGGATCATCCCCCCCCTTGAACCCAATAACCTCAGAAAGTTTCCTACCTTATAAATCAACTGTGGTGAGATTCAAACCCGAGTCTCATGGTCAGAAAGTGAACGTTCTAACCACGTGCATATATATATATATATATATATATATATATATATATATATATATATATATATAAAATTGCAACAATAATACTCAGCAGAAATGCATCATCCTATGTATTATGGTTTAACTCATGCAATATTTTGATAAAATACAAGGAGTACCTAATCCTGCAGGACAGTGAATAAAAAAAAAAAAAAAAAAATAAATGCAAATTTTAAATTTGCTGACAGATATTTAATAAAAATTAAATATGAATTATCACAGCAACTTAAATAATAAAGAGTATTCAATCTCATCTAAAAAAAAATTAAGTTTTACTGTCTAAAATAAATTTCTCACAACTAAATAATTTAATAATTTCTAAAAAGAATCAAAAAGTGTCTTATTTTTGTTAAGAGTAAAAGTGCAACACCACAGTAAAAAAACATTGCTTAATTTGTTTTTAAAAGATATAAACAATTTCAGCAAACTTTATAATAAACTTTTAAAAATATTAGGAATTTGAAAGGTAAATAACACTGATATTCAACTTGATCATTTTATAAGGCATGAGATTCAACCGTTACAAAGCATTAAAATTAAAATAAGATTAAAAATGATTAAAATCTTCATAAGGATGAACCACTAACATGGAATATGTGAACGAGTGGCGCAATATTGAGTCTAGTTCACTACCTCTTCGTCACTGAGGCTCGTTAGTACAGTTGGTATGACGTTTGCCTGTCAATGTAACTGTTCAGGTTTCAACATTGCTGATGAGTCCCAAATATAGGATGAAATGGCCGTCCAGTGCTTTCTGCATTCTGTTGAGGTTTCTTCTAGACTCGATGAATTACTTTATATATATATATATATATATATATATATATATATATATAATTTTAAAAGGCCAACATATCATCAGAACAACAAATACAAGTTTATTTCTATGGAAATGTACCAAGAAATGTAGTTGTTCAGGTGATAAGTTGATTTAATATTTATTAATTTATTGAATATTATCACTCTAGTTTGAGCATTTTTATTGTAAAAATTCTGCTAACTTTAAAATAAGTTAAATTTCCTTCAGGAAAGGAAGAAAAAAGAAAAAAAATGAGAGATCCACCAAGTGAAAAGGAATGAAAGTGAATGAAAGAAAGACTGGGAAACAAAATATTCTTCTTTTTCACTTTTCATTCTTTCTTTTTCTTCATTCATTTTAATTTTTTCATTATCTTTTTATCTAATTTTTTTTTTCTTTCTTTTTAATTGCACAGGTTCATTCATGGACATTCACATTTGTGGTGCCTGCAAGACTCAGTTCCACAATGTGGAACTTTTTATTGCCCACAAACAACAGAGTTGCCCTGTCCTTGTGGAGATGCGGTCAGTTTCCTTTGGCCAACTTGCAACCACCAGTGAAGGTGTTGTTCCAACGACTAGCCCCATTGTGACTGTGCCTGGTTCTTTGCCTCTGACCACAATAACCACAAACTCTGTTGCAGCTGGTATAGTGGCATCATCTTTGAACACAAACACTACAACAACAACAATTTCTAATCAGACTGTCAGCAGTAATGTTCAGATTAATGGGTCTCATCCTGGTGAGGAAGGAGAAAGCAGTGACAATTTGCCACACCAGTTACACCTTCCGACTAATGCCAGTGACGTTCAAACAGAACCAACTAATCAGTTGTTGTCAACAAAACTTGAATTGTCATTTCTTGAGGATTTTAAGAACAGGAATAATTTTAAAGATTCTTTTCTCATATCAACTGCTTCAAACTGTCATTCGGTGATTGGACATTCAAGACTGCAGGTAAGTCGTAGGATGGAGGGAGAGACTTTTACTTGTACCTTAAAACTTCCAAAATCATGTTTAGGTTAGTTTTTTTTTTTCTTTTTAAATCATTTAATTGAAAACAAGGCAATAAAGCCACTAAGATGCAAGTGGTTCTGATGTTGATCTCTGTAAAGAGGAGGTCACCAGTGTTAGAATCTTTTGATCCCAAGTATACAAAAGTATTACCAATCAAACATTTCATATGGGTACCACCATTTTGATTGGATATTCTGTAGTTCAGACTAAGCTAAACAATGCCCAAAATATAATAAAAATATATCACTGAATGCAGATATCTTAATACAATTCCAATAAATTTCCTTTGAATAGGAATAAAATACAAGTTTTGTTTGTAGGAGAGTCAAATTATGACAAAATTATGATAAAAATTATTATTATTTAATAAAATGGGTGGTTGGTTTAAGGGTGTTCCAGGTAGGTTTTTTCCAAATCATCCTGTCCCATCTATTTAAAACTCCAAGGTACTCTACCTTGAAAATAAAAATAGGACATCATAGCAACAAAGTGGCAGTAGTAAGGATTTGTCAAATGGCAATCAAAACTTCAGTCTAATATGGACATTTCCTAAGCTCAGCTTAGAAAAACATTGAGGGATGGGGATTTGTAGTGGGGGAAGATTGTGTTGTGGGAAGTACCTACTTATCTCGCTGGAAAATCAGCATTTAAAATCCTGGATTTTTAGCTGGGTTCGAACAAAATAATCATGGGTATCAGTGGAAAAAAGGCCTTGTCAGTTGGAGTAAAAATATGCTACTTGTATGACAGAATTTAATATCGATGACATGGAAAAGGTTGATATGCTGTAAAAGAAACCAAGCCAGGTCAGTGGAAAGCATATAACTTCGCAACGTATGGAACATGGTCACAATTACTGGAGTGCTCAGTGAAGAACAAACTCACTACAGCAGTAATAATCCATGTGACCTGCTTACCAACTATTGTTCCATGAGAAAATACTCTACTTTTGTTTGATATTTAAATAAGCATTACTGAGGAATTCATAGTTAAGAGGTTGGGTATGTTGTGTCTTGCCTTCCCTTGGATGAGCAGTATAGGGTTGTTAAATGAAAAGTATTGCATAGACAATGTCCAGCATTTGTAGGAAACAAAGAAATGTAAAAATAATGAAATATAATAATATTGAGTTCGTTTGATATTTCAATAGTGATACTGCTGTGAGACATTATTCCATGTAGAGTCACCAGCTGAAACCTTTGCAGCCAAGACTTGCTTTGTACATCACTTTCATTCTCTATGTATTCCTTTGACAAGAAGGATGTTCCACTTGGAAAGCTGCTTCCCAAGAACCACTACTTTGTTGAACAAATTCCTGCAAGAATATTTCCCGTAGAACTCCACGAGAGCACCTCTTTGCGACTACTTGGCCTCACATTGACTGCTGACCCGAGATGGATCAAATGCATTGAGTCAATAGCTTCGTCCACCACAAGGAAAGTTGGCTCCCTGTGCCGCGCCAGGAAATTTTTCTCGCCGGAGTCGAGCCTTCAAACCTACAAATCAACCATTTGCCCTTGCATGGAGTATTGCAGCCATATATGGTCTGGTGTCCCTTATGTTTGTCTCAAGGTTCTTGATAAGATCCAGAGATGGATATGCAACGTAATTGGCCCTGATCTGGCATCTCATCTGCAGTCACTCTCTCACAGATGTGCTGTCACCTCCCTCTGTCTTTTTTACAAATACTTTCATGGTAACTGCTTCGAGGAGCTGCTTTCGCTGGTTCCCAAGCTTCATGAATTTAAGCGTTCTACTAGGCTGGCATCTCGCTCACACCATTTCACTGTCAAAACTATTAAATGTTGCCGTCTCTTCTACTCCAATAGCTTCATGTCTCGCACCTCTCACCTGTGAAACTCCCTCCCCTTTCCCAGTTTCATTGATAGCTATGATCTCCAACTATTCAAATGTAATGTCAATCGACGTCTCCAGATGCCCTGATCTATCCCCTACCCTACTCTTCATCCTTTTCTCTATCACTCCTCTTTGCTCTCGCTCCAACTCTCTGTAATCCCCTTGCATGCGAGTGGCTTCCTGCCTTGCTTCTGGTGAAACGCTTAAAAAAAAAAAAAAAAAAAAAAATTATTATGTTAAGCTTTTCAAGTCTTCTTTCAATTGTTATCTACTTGCTATATTCTCATAATCTTCATTTCTTACTCTTATGTTTATATCACACAATTTATTCAGTACCCCCCCCCCACACACACACACACACACACCTTGAGTGGCTCTTGGGCCTCGTATTGGATGAACTTTAGTAAATAGTCTTGTGTATGACAATTACATCTGGCAGCAAGAAGATTGGAGGTTTTGAGGAATGTGGATTGCTGTTGTTTGCAGGTCCACCCTGACCTGGGGTGGTAGCACCTGCTAGGGTCCTAGCTATAGGCAAATAGTGACCCCTCCCCCCACCAAACAAAAACAAAACACTATGAAAGTATAAAAATACAATCAATACATTTTTATATAAAAAAATACGAACAATGCATATTTACAGTAGAACTGCCAACAATACATTCGATAGCAAAATGACCAGCAATACATTTTCTCTGTAGTTGAAAACATAAATTTGCATTCAAAATATTTAGATATCGGCATTAAATAACCCATAGAGGTGTTGATATGCTGCTAAACAAAATCAACCAACCAACTTTAGTATCTGTATATATTTCTGAGATGAGGTATTATGTACATTATTTACATTATTCAGACTATTGTCCTCATCTTTGTCACCATATTTATTACAACGTTTCTGTCATTGTATACTCCAGCCTTCTTCAGGTGGTTGGAATGTCGAAATGAACCCTTTATTTCGCTCACTGGGGTAGACTTGAACACACACTCTTTGGGTCCTCAAGGACACATGACACAGTGGATAAAGGCATTAGTTAGATCCAGTGACAGGACCCAAAGAGTGTGAGTTCAATACCCGGCTAAGGCAGTGGAGAACTTTCAGAGGGAAATTAACAGGAGATAACTGATAACGGACATCCATTAAACATGGCATGTGGAACTAGAACAGTTTACCCTAGTGAGCAAAATAAAGGGTTCAGTTCGACATTCCAATCACCTGAAGAAGGCCGGAGCATACAACGGCTGAAATGTTGTAATAAAAGATGAGGACAATAGTCTGAATGATGTAAATAATGTATAACTTTAGTATAAAAAAAAAAAAATTTTTTTTTTTTAGTTGCTGCAATAAAAATATGTACTCCATGTTCTGGTATATAGGTTTCACTGTATTTTTAAAAATCTGATTGTTAAAATCACCCTGCATCTGACAGAATCTTCACTTCTTGGGTCTGGGGAACATTATAGAAAATTTCTGTCCATTTTTAAATGCTAAACTTCTGGCAAAGAAATATGGTAAACAGTTCTTCTTTGCACAAACTTGAAAATACATCTCTAGCAATTGGATCCCAATAAATATATCACTATGTTTTATTTTGCTAATTTTTTTCTCAATAAAAATGGTAATTTCCCTTGTAGCTTTTCTTCATGTTTGCAAATACTGATATCATTATTTTTCTGTCATCATTTTTTCTCTCTCTCCTTTCTCAGAATGCTGTACGCACAATGAGTCAGAATATCCTAGAAGCAGACGAAGTTCAAAATGATGTTGGCCAAATTTCTCATAACCAGAAACCAAACCACATTCCAGAATTGACCAGCAGACCCTCTCAGACAATGACCCCTGAACAGCTAATGCATACTCTTCAACTCACAAACAGTAATAACCCTTCAGCTGAACAAGTATTAGTGAAATCTGTTCAGCAACAAGCAGACATCACGGCTACTACGGCAGTTGCTCAGCAGTTCTTTACTGACCAAATCATGACCGAACCTCTGGACAATCTGGCTGCCATTGCCTCGGACACCTTGCAAAGTGGTCAGCAGGCACAACTGACCACCAACTTCCCTTTGCCTCATAGTGAGAACCAGCAGAGTTTTAGTGATGAAGCTAGCAGTGAAATTGTTTCATCGACTGCTTCTTCATCTTCATCTTCATCTATTTCTGTGATGAATGGACAATCCGGGAACAACCATATGGATAGTTTTCAGTTACGTATGATGACTGGTACAGATACTGTACCTGTTCAAGTCCCGGCTGGGGGTTATATGGCCATTGTGCAAGAGTTTGATGTCTCTCCACCCCCAAACTCAATGTTAACTGAATGTGAAACGCTTCCATCGTCACCACCACCACCACAGCCTCAAGAACAGCAGCAACCACCACCAGTACCACATCAGCAACAGCACCAACTATCTCAGGCAAGTGTTATTGTCAGTGAGGATGTATCAAATAATTTAGACAATGACACAGGAAGTAACAATCCACAAAACAAGAATAACCAGTTACGGCCCTCTACAAATTTTGTCGCTTGCACCCAGGCATCGGCAAAACAGAGTAAGTAAAATAATAATTTTTTTTTTAATGCTATATCTTATCCCTTCAGTATGTAAGTGATTCTAACTCTCTACAGATAACTTTTTTTATTCTCTGATATATTTTTTTTTTTTTTTTTTGGGTTATTTAAATCCAAAATATATATAGCATGTGGAGACTAGAATAGTCTACCCCAGTGAGTGAAATAAAGTGTTTAGTTCGACATTCCAACCACCTGAAGAAGGATGTTGTAATAAATGACGACAAAGATGAGGACAATAGTCCGAATAATGTAAATAATGTACATAATACCTCATCTCAGAAATATAGACAGATACGTCGGTTTTTCATAAATATTATACAGAAAAATAAAATTTGCCTTAGGTCGTTTTACTTGAGTTTACGTCGACTGTTAAAAATATTAGAAATGTCAAAATGCTAAAATAGCAATAAGCATGTGTATAAAAATTTTGTCTTTTTGTTTTATTCTTCTTTTTTTTTCCTTTGATCACACATGGTGACAAATGTGGAGAGTCAGTTTCTCATTTCAGAAAACCAAATTTTATGAATTAGACTTAAAAAAAATGTTATTGAATAATTTCAATAAAGTGACCAAACAATAATGGAGCTTTTTGTCTCTAGATGACTTTGTGGTGCTTCTTTTCTGCAGGTTATGCCACATTCACTTAATTCTTATTTACAATTGTAGCATTCTTTGCAAGGGTTGTCCCAGAAACTCATCAAGTTAGATTAAGAGCAAAATTATGAAGTACAAAACCCTATCAAATTGGAGCAATTGTTACACTTTCTCACTAAATATTATAATGAAGCAAAAACAGAAATCTATACTGAAAATCGCGGGGGTGGGGGGGTTGGAATTCCTTAAAACCTGAAACAAAATTAAGGAAAATTTGAAATGGAAAATTGGTCCCTGTAGGCATGTCTATAGTCAATACCTATTTAAGATAGTTGTCTAGTGGTAATCATTGTTTATTTAGTGAGCTGTGGTTTTGTTGGATTTTCTTGAAAATTTATACAGCAAAAATTTATGATGACCAAGAGTGAAAATTAATAAAATGTCTTCAAAGTGTAATTGAATATGAGTTGAAAGGTGTGGGTGTATGGGTAGGTGTTTGACAAACAACTTTGTCTGGGTGTTGCTATCAGTTTGATTTGCAATGAGCACAGCAACGACAATAATGTCCCATAATTGTAGTTGGTTCAGCAATTCTAACAGGGAACTATGCACTCGGGTCAGTCAAAGATGCTCTTTAATTCTGTTATAACGTGGAAAAGGTTACTGAATGAAGAATAACCAAAACGGAAGTTAGAAATGAAATGGTAATCTTTATAACAGCAACAAAATACAATACTCACCAGCTGCGTGAAATAGGTAAACCACTGCTAGAGGTGGACTACTTAGCATATTACCCCCACTTACAATAGTGTCCAACATATTTATGACGATTGGGACATGCCCATTAGTGTTCATAGGGTCAGCAAACATAAAGTCTCAGGCTAGAGAAAACTTCTCAGTTGATAAATATTATTCTTGAGCAACATCTCACAAGAGGTAGTGGAATCGTTAAAGACTGGTGCTGACGTCAGCTACTCTTGTTACATTCGTTGTCTTGTGTTTAATCTGTTTGACTGTAATTCTGACTGTAACTCTAAATCACTAGTTGATATAAGAAATCTTACATCACCTCTAACCTGACATATTCTTTCTATCTAGGATTGATTGATCTGTAGTTTACAGTTTATCAACCTTTTTCAGGTTATTTAAAATCAGGAAACTTTTTTTTTTTTTTTTTTTTTTTTTTTTTAGCTTTTAAAAATGTTTTTGAGATAATGATTTACTAATACAAATTCTACTAATTAACCCATAGCTGGTTGGAGAGAAGAGATAAATTTATATCCTTTCTCAAGGGCATTTGTCCATAACTGAATATAATGAATTCAAATGGAATTGGAATTCAGCTCCCCAATTTCAAGCCATTATCCATAATGCCATGTTTCACATCCCAGTTTACAACACTTGCTATTCCCATGCAGTCACCCACCTAGGAACTGACACGACTTGACATTTCTTAACTATGGTGATCTTATGTGAACCTGTGTTTCAATGTGATATGGCTGTAAGCCCCTCATCTAATTGTTGACAATACCTGTTTTTTTTTTTTTTAAATTCCATTGTTTGTTATTATCTAGACAAATTCTTAAAGTATATTTTTAAGAGGAGTTCTAATAAGAAATGTATTTCAGATAAATTGTAGTCACAAACACATGTTCTGTCATTCATCAGAGTTGTAGAGGCACCCCATGTACTGCAGCTGGTTTGAATTCAAAGTTTTCCTTCTCTTAGACCAGTTGCCACCCAAGGCTATAGAACTGAGTTTGTCCTGCCATAGCTGGGGAAATGGTAGTGACAATTTAAAAAAATAATATATCCAAGCCAGAGTTTTGGTGAACATATTCCACTCTGATAATTTTTTTTAATCATTTCTCCCTACCAAGCAAGGTGATAATGCCACTAAGATGCAAGGGGTTACTGGGAGTGAAAGAGAATGAGAAAACTTTTGTGAGGAGAAAGGATAATAAAAGAACAAAATTTGAGAAGGCTAATGTGGTGATTGACGTTGCATTTAAATTTTTGAAGATTGTAGGTAGTTAGGAAGCAAGAAACTGGAAGTGAGTTTCACATGTGAGAAGAATGAAAAAAAAAGAAACTATTAGATGTAACCATAAATTCTATTCTATTTCAACAGTAAAATAAAGACCTGAATCCTGTTATCCCAACCCTGGAAGTAAATTCATAGATTTTGTTTTGAGTTACTTTGACAATTTCTTTAACTTTAATTTCTAATTGATATTTTTTTTTTTTAATTGACCTTTAATTGATTAATTCTTTAATTAGAAATTCTCTTGTAATGTTGATTCCAGTTTTTTCCCCAGTTTCAAGTCACCAATTTCATGCACTATGAAACGTCAAACTAGGCTTGTTACATCACGTTTTAAAAACAATGTTGATGTCACGCTTTCTAAACAATCTTATATGTAGATTATTTGCTTGGGAATGACTTTCTTAAATTTTTCAGTTGTTCTTTGTCAATGCCCTTGTAAAGTAGGAAAAAATTAACATGCAACTGATTTTCACATTATTTATGCTATTTATATTCACACTATTGTGCTAGTCTTTGTTTTCATGTTTCTGAGTGAATTCTGAACTGAACCCTTTATTTAATCTTCCAGGAGTAGATTGGGTATGATGATAAACTCCATTTGGCAGCAAGGCCTCTGGTTGGGAGGTTTTGAGGAGCGGCGAACCACCTCCTAATTACTGTTCCCAGGTCCACCCTGACCTGGGTTTGTAGCACATGTTAGGGTCCCAGCTATGGGCCAATGGTGAACCACCCAAACAAAAACAAAACACTATGAAAGTATAGAAATACATTTTTATAGTAAAAATATAAGCAATACATTTTTATATAAAAAAAAAATACCTACAATACATATTTTTAGTAGAATGACCGACAATACATTCTATAGCAAAATGACCAGCAATACATTTTCATAGTAAAAAAAAAAAAAAAAAATGACCAGCAATACATTTTTATAAAATGTTAATTAAATTTTGGTATTAAATGATCCATAAGGAGTTGATATGTCACTAAACAAACATTTTTATCACCAAATTTTCTCATCTTGTATCTTTACATAGTTTCTTAGATATTTCCCATCAGTCATTTATCATCAGATCATTTTTCAGTAATAATAATAATAATAAGTGACCATGTTAAGAAAAAAACAGAGACAAGTGGAACCAAACAAATATAAAATTCCAAGTTTATTTTCTAAAAATGGGAAAGTAATCCTAAGTGATTGAAATTATACTGGATAATTACGTTTTAGTCAGTGAAAAATAATTTCATCTTTCATTTCAATTTTCTTTTTTTTTCTTTCCTCCAATAGCAACTCCAAAATTCACACTTTATGATAAAAAGCAATTTTTGAAATTAAGACCTTAAGAAACACTGGTCAAAAATTTATCTCGATAATATTGCAAATTTACTTCTCAATTTTGAAAGGGTCATTCACATTCAAAGATATAATCCCCTTCCCATGAAGTTTCAGGTGATCCATTCTGTGGCCTTCTTCAGGTCTACTATTGTATACAAACAGGTGATATCTGGTAGTACAGTGTGCAGCAGAAATACCTCCCACATAATGGTAAGACATTAGCTAGATGACGACATCATTGCCACTAATGTCTTACCATTATGTGGGAGTTATTTTTGCTGCACAAAGATGAAAAATAGCAGCAAACAGAAAATTTATAGAACTGCTTGTAACACTTTTCATCAGTGTGTGCAATATAGATTTTCATTTTTTTAAAGAATGAAGATATCCTCACTTACTTTACTTAAAGAAAGAAAGAATTTCATTATAGTATCCCTTGTTAAGCCAATTTGTCTGATCTCCATCTTGCAATTTCAGTTGATCAACTAAAACATAAGGATAACACGAATAAGAATATGAATGCGTCATATAAACAAATATGTATTTTTTTTTTTTTTTTTTGATAAAAACAAAGAAGGTGCCAACCTCATCAAAAATGTTTCCATTGAATTCTTTATTCCAGTTTTGCTTTTCAAATGAACATTTCTTACTTCTCTATGCTTTGTAGCTACCATTACTAATGCAAGCAAACTGCCTTTAAAGAATCGCCAGACACCAAACAAAAAGTTCAAATGTACATTTGAAGTGTGTGAATTCCAGACTGCATACTTGAAAGACCTTGAGCGCCATACACGCACTCATACTGGAGAGCGACCATTCCAGTGTCAAGTTTGCCGAAAGTCTTTTAATCGAAGTGACAAACTAAAGATACATCAAAGAGGACATACGGGTAATAAGCCTTACAGATGTCAGATATGTAAGTGAATTTATTTCTATTTTCTATTGTATTTTCAAAACATTTTCTTTAAGACTTCATATTAAATAATGTTAAAAATTACTTACACGTAGACTATTTTTCTTATCTTTACTATTATTATCACATTACCCACCCCTTGCTGTGTGTCACACAATTTTTTGTAAGAAAATGATGATTGATTTTAAATCATTGTTATAATTTATGGAGAAAAATGATGCATTTCAATATTACTCAATGATCTTGCTGATGTGACCTCTATCTGCTGGTTTTCTACTTCTATATTTTGGACAGGATTCATACCCTTGTTCAAATTTAAGGGAAAAAATTTCAGAAGGGATTTGTGTAAAAACAGCTTGATCTGACCCCTTTGATTTGTATTTGATAAGCAGATTTCAACATTGATATGACCGTTGAATTGTTGCAACAAATATTTATTGTAAGGCACTAACCACTGATTGGTGATTTCTTGCTCAACTTGACGTTCATATTGTCTCATTTTGATCTTCCAATGTGACCCCCATCTTCTGGCTTTCTCCTGTATTTTGGATAGGAGTCATCCCTTGTTCAAATTTAAGTTTAATTCACATGATAAGGAAAAAAAAAAAAAAAAATTGGGTTCCTCCCCCTTCCCCCCCGTGGATCAAAATGAAATATACTTATCCAAGTACCCTGGGTAATGTAGTTTCAGAATATATGGTTATGGTGGGGTCCATCTCCAAAACCCTGAAAGGAGTTTGATAATAGACAGAGGCTACAACTTTATATATATATATATATATATATATATATATATATAATGAGAGAGAGAGTTTGGGTGTTGTACTCTCCAGCCTTCATCAGGGACAATAGCTTAGTGGATTAATTGTTGGTTTATAAACTGGCTTTGAAATTGCAAGTTCAATCCCAGTGTGTACTTTACTTGGACTCAATGGAAACGGCAGTGAGCAAAAACTGAAGAGTACCAAGAACTAGATGAGATATTCCTAGACATGTTCAGTAGAATGGGAACACTCTACTTCTGTAGATTATTCCTGAAGGTTACTGGTATTGACAAGCAGAGGGTATATCAACTGAAATATGATCAGTCAGTTAAGTGCTATATGTGATGCATACTTGGACAATTATGTCTCATGATACATGACTAATTAGTCAGAAGATTTTCCTGCAGTATATTGCTGTTTCTTTCTATGGTAGACAGTAGAAGTACTACTTGGAAAGATGAAACATGGAGCTGAGTATAATAAATACACAAATCAGTTTGGTTTTATTTGTATCTACGAGCGCATATATCACCCAACTTTTTCAATGCTATCAAAGATGCTAGGTATTTAAAACTCTTGATGTTAGATGTTAAACACAACCAAAGTCTCCTTAAATCGATACTAATATTTTATAGACATTTCCATTTAATTTCTGAGAATCTATTTGCATATTTTAAGTATTTTTTTTTTCTTTAATTGCAGGTTCTTACTCGTCAGCAGATAGCAGTAGTCTTAAGAAACACTTACGAATTCACACCAATGAACGTCCATTCAAGTAAGGCTATTTTTCATTTGATAATTGGTCTCTGTATGATAGATGGTCATGGTCAAATACAAAATAAGTAACAGAACTATTCAACAAACAGAATTGACAAAGTTTGCAATAAGCAAAAAAAGAAAAAAAAAAAGGGGGGCAACAAAAAAAGCAAACAAACAATATATGCGAAGGCAATTTAATAGTAATAACACAAAGCAACAGTAAATGGCAAAATGTTCACAAACTAAGAATTAGGGTTGACACACAAAAGCAAGTTTGGACAAGCAAATATAGTTTTCCGACTTTAAGACAAGACACTGGGACTGGCCTATTTTATTGGCTCAGAAAAAATCCCGGTATGCATTTGTATGCTTTTGCCTATAAATTAGGTAGGGGCAAGTGTTTTCCAATCATTCCTAATGAGGACTTAATAAATTTAATATTAAACCCATCACATGTACCAGGCCATCTTAACTCCAATATGAATATCTTGGACATAGCCCTAATTCTGTCAGTAACACTTTCATTAATTACTGACAATCCTGTTGTACATGATTTCCAATATTTTTTTCTATAGTAAAATTGTTTCAATGTATTTATATTATACATTTTATAGCTCTGTTCTGTCAGTAATCATTGCATTAATTTCTAATCACTGACAATACATTTTTTCCTGATTTTCAATAGACATAATACAGCTTGAGGGTTGAAATTTTGTCAAAGCAAATTTTAGGGATGAGAAAAAGAATAACTTTCATAATTTAGTATTTAAATCATCAAATTTAACTTTTAACTTATGTTACCATAGTGATTTTTCATAAGCATTTGTAGGAAACAAAGAAATGTAAAAATAATGAAATATAATTATAGCCTTCTTTTGAGACAAAGATTTGCACAAAATATTACCATGAGGTTGGGGTTGTATCTTTTGCATCCTTCGTACTCTCAAAGAATGTCTATGGAATTTATTGCATAAGTTTGTTTATCATGTAAAAAGTAAATTTTAAATAATAAATTTTTTGACAGTTGTATTCTCTATATTTTTTTTTCCACAATGCACATTGGAAATTTTGGCATTTTCTATCTGATAAATAATTTTAGTATTTTCTGTGGTATTAACAATCTTGCTTTCCCTCCTGATGCCAATGTACTAATGATGATGGGGGGGGGGTAACTATGCTGATGGCATAGGTATTCATAGTTGAGGTAAGAATGATCTTGAACAAAAAAATCAACATTTTCTACCAAATCTTCCAAGAAAATAGGACTCAAGATAAACCTTTCCGAAACAGATTATAATCTGGAATTGGAATGAAAGGTTTGACTCTAAATCTATCATAAAAATTCAATATGTGGAATTAGTAAATGCTAAACACTTCAAATAACTTAGCAGATGAATATTATAAGAAATTTAGTATAGGATAAAAGAAAATTGAACATGGAACAGGCTGTGCCTGATGTAGTTTCGGCCAACACTGCAAATTGCTACAAAATCAAAACATCAACCTGAAAACTTAAATCATGTTCTTAAATAGCCTTGTCAGATCGAGATGTTCATATGGATGTTATGCATGGCACCAAACCCATTCAGAAATATCTAAACTGTCAGCTGTATAAAACCACTTCCTAGGATCAATGGTGCAAAAAGGCTTTGAGTGCAGCCTGAGGGTCTTGGCATTCTTCTTTGGAAATTGTGGACTGGTGCTACAGAATCAAAAACAAAGAACTGTACCAAATAATAGAAACCAAATCACTTGAGAACTAGCAACCACAGCAACAACTAAAATGGATAGCACATGTAACTTGAAAAGAATATAATGACATAATGAAGATGTTGTTATTCCACACAAGGTCAAATAAAAGGTTAGGAAGGAAACCCCTAATACTTGTAATAACCAAGTCTTGTAGAGCACAGTAGAAGGAAATTTCTAGATATATACCATGCTGGTTTATGTTTGGCACCAAACATGAGCTTTGGTTTTTAGAATGTAGTATGTCTTACCCCAGATCATGTGAGAATAAACTTTGCATTCAGTGTCTGTCAGAGAAGTCAGGTGCAGCATTTACCTGGGGAGATGACCTCCTTGCTGACAAATGCAGATACAACTCAACTGCACCTCTTGTGCATGCATGGAAAAAACGTATCACATGCAAATGTACATTTATAAATCTAAGAGGCAGCCAGGGAGTCTCTCTTACATTGCATATGGGAATCTAAGGTCCATGTTCGAATGAAGGCTTTGAGGCTACACATACATTGGCTGACAGTAATTAATGAAGTCCAGAATTGAATAAAATGTAATGTTTGAGTGTTTTTATTTGTAATACATGCTAATAATTTATTGCAAGAATTTCAAATAAGTTATTGCATACTTGTAATGCTGATCAGTGTAAATGAAATATTTACTTTGGCTAACGTTCTTAGCTGACATGAAGTGGAAAGACAATTTTTCTCTCCAGAATCTTTCTTGCATATCTATGTCTGTCATTCATCCATGCTTAGAATATTGCTGTCACATATGGTCCAGTGCCTCTGCTATTTACCTTGAGCTCTTTGATAAGATCCAAAGAAGAATCTGCAATATTATTGGTCCTGATCTGGCATCTCAGTTTCAATCACTTTCCCATTGCTGTAAATTTGCCTTTTTTCTATGAATGCTTTCATGATAATTGTTCGGATGAGCTCTTCACTATGGTACCGAGACTTTTTGAATTACTAGTACTAGACTGGAGGTGAGGTCTCATCAATTTACAGTTGAGTCAGCATAAAACTTACTGTTACATCTAGCTAACAGTTTTTTTCTTGGTTGTGGAACTCTCTTCCGACTCCATGCTTTCCACTTAACTTTAATCTTGAAAAATTTAAATTCAATGTCAATTGCTATCTATTATCTTCATGATTACTCTCTTGTTCTTGGTCCTTAGTAATGTTTATCTTTTCTAATTCTTCAACCCCCTTGTGTCTTATTGGCTTGACTGCCTTGCTTAGGGTAAACGATTAAAAAAAAAAAAACATTTTAAAAAATAAAATAAAGATGTGGATGTAAAGAAATATTTGGCAAAGCTTTAAGATTCTTACCTACAAAAAAAAAAAAATAGTTTTTGTCTTGACACCACTATTACTGTCTACTCCATTGGCAATTTTTGTTTTTAAAAAACTATTGTTAGAATTTGAATAAAACCCCAGATATATAAAACTGGATTTATTCATTCCTTTTTTTTTTTCTTGAGAATTAAAAACAAAAGAATTAAACATTATTCTTGTAATTAAACAGTTCAATAAATAAATAGTAATTAGCATTTTTGTTAATTTTTGTGAAGAAAAAAAATATGGTATATATCCATATGTTTTCAAACTATTTTTAGTGAATTAATCTGACAAGGAAATAAAAGAAATGTTCAAAAAATTAATTTTTTTCCAAATTTATAATTACATTTACTTGTGGTTTTATGTTTTTCTTTTCTTATTCAGACATTTATAAATTTATGAATAAAAATATTTGTTTTCAGCTATTTAATTATAATGTGGTAAATGATAAATATTGTATTGAAGTTGGTTAAAATGTTTTATAAACTTGTAAATATAAAATTATTCTAATAAAATAAATAGTGTTTAATACTTTTGTTGTCAATTCTTGGGAAAAAGAAAAATACATAAATCCCATTTCATGTTTGGGTTTTATTAAAAAAAATTCTAAAAATAGCTTTTTGAAAAAAATTACTAAGAGTAGACAGTCATGAATAAAAAGAAAGTTTGATACAACATTTTTTTTGCAAGTACGAATATTAAGCTTTATTCAATGTGTTCTCTACGGTGTGCATGAAATATATTATTTGTTAACATCCACAAAAATATACAAACTTGAATGAACCTTTTTCATTTTTTTTTTTAACCTGAACAGGTGCCAGATGTGTTCATATGCCAGCCGAAATTCAAGTCAGCTAATTGTTCACCTTCGAACACATACAGGTGATTCCCCATTCCAGTGTCAACTCTGTGATGCCAAATTCAAGATCAATTCTGACCTTAAGCGTCATGTGCGTACACATACTGGAGAGAAACCTTTTAAGTGTGATCTTTGTGATTACAGGTGTTCTATTAAAGGTAAGTTCAATCTACTTGATATTAATAGTATTGTATTTAAAAGTATTTATTATTGAGCAATTTCATTATTAATTGCATTAATCTATGAAACTGTGTGTATATATATATATATATATATATATATATATATATATATATATAAAGTAAAAGATTTGTCATTTAGCTGAGTGATGTTACCTTCAGCATCCTGACTCCAGAGTTTCATAAACAGACCTGTCCGTCCGTCCACTCTTCAGGGAATATCACCAATTGACTTTTTTATGCACTTATCATTGGTAAAATTTTTTTCCGTATTGTTTGTGTGTAGTTGTGCGCATACATACATGCTGGGTATTGTGACTATTTGTCCTTTTCTACTTTTTTTTTTACCATCATTCTAGCTTACTTTTTTTCCTTTTCTTTCAATTGCTGCTATTTTGTTTCTGTTTTTTTTTTTTTCTCTAGACATTTTTAATTTTTTAGCATTCAAGTCTTTTCTTGAGTTAGGAAAATTGTATTTAGTTTTTTTACATAAATAATTGATATTAATGCTTAAATGATAAAGTAAATATTTTTATGTCTTCACTTGACTATTTCGTTTTCTTCAAGAAGAATTTTTTGCCTAAAATTTATGACAAAGTGGAAAAAGTTTTTGTGCAGTGCGTTTTATTTAGTCCGATGAAATCACACAAAAAAATCTTCTATTTTGTCACTTTTTTCCAATTTATTTATTTATTTATATATATATATATATATATAAATTGTCTAAGAAAGATAACTCTAAATTATACGTTTAAGAGTTATCTTCCTTTGCTTTTTGTATTCTTTCTTTTTCGCTTTTGGTCATGCAATAGTGCAAAAACCTTTTTTCTTGGTTAAAAATATCATCTTCTTTAAAAACTGTAATTTTTGGCGTGAATTAAACTTTTTATTTATCCAGTGTTTCTATATTTGACACAAGATGCTATTCAACTATTATGATTATTGTATGGAGTATTGTCAAGCATTATAAAGTTTTCATTATTATGTTAATTCTGCTGATTAGGGATTAGTAGAAATCTAAATAAAAATATCTTTAAGTTTTAAATATAGTTGGTGTATGGCTAATTATAGAATAGTCTACCTTTTTATTTACTAAATAATTATAAGATAGAAAATATCCGTCCTCATCTTTTAGATGAGGTATTAAGATTATTCAGACTGTTATCCTCATCTTCATTGCCATATTCACGTTTTGACTGTTGTATACTCCAGTCTTCTTTGGGTGATTGGAATTTTGAACTGAACCCTTTATTTTGTCTACTGGGGTAGATTGTTCTTGTTCCATGTGTCATGCCTCTTCCAGATGTCTCCAGGTTTTTTGGTTCACCACTGCTGTAGCCTGGTATTGAACTCACAACTGTTTGGGTCTTGTCATTGGATCTAACCAATGTCTTTATCCACTGCATCATGTGTCTTTGAGGACATCGGTGTATGAATTTCTAGGACTTATAAACCTAAAGTCTCAGCAACCACAGAGGGAAAAGGGAAATCACTGCACCTTGTGGGATATCAGTTATGTGCTATACATGATACATGCTTAGGCAATCATGTATCTTTTGATACATGACTGAGGCAGATTTTTTCCTGCAGTAGGTTGCCATTTCTTTCTGTGGTAGACCAGTTGCCATCCAAGGCTATAGAATTCAGTCTGTCCTGCTATTTACCCATAGCTGGGGGTGGGGGAGAAAAAGAGGATTCATACCTTTCCTCAAGGCTATTAGCACCTAATTAAATGTAATGGATTCGCTTAGTTGGTCCTAAAATAGGTTCGACGTACAAAACGTTAGGAAATTGAAATAATAGTTAATGACGCAGCAATCTAGTTGGGGTGGTTGATACTTTAATGCCCGACATCGACTGACTCACCAGCTCACTGAGCTCCCCCTCGACTGCTACTACTACTATTTATTATATGTGGGAGAGTCTATTAATAATAGAATAGGTGTGTTTCAGTAGAACACTATTGTAAATTTAAAGTCAACATTTCTAAAATTCAATAAAACATTAGATTACAGAGAATATTTTCCTAAATTTTTACTGTGTACTTAAAAATTATATAAAAATTTTCTTAAATTATGTTTTACAGATAAGTTATCCATAAAACAATAGATCTGTCATCAGGCTGTCAACACAACTACTGTTAAGTTAAAAAAAGGCATTTCTGTGATATTTCAAATTTAAAGTAAATAATATTTGTTTCAAATCAGATTAGTTATACTTTAAATCAGCTAATATTCCTCAAATAAGGTTTCAGAAATGTATATTTTATGTTTGGAAGATTTGTTTTAATAAAGAGAATTACATTGCAATAAAAGACAACTAAAAAAGGCCACCAATCAGCTATTTTATTAAAAAAGAAAAAAAGGAAAAAAAAAAGTTTTCCAGACAATTTAAATTAGTTTTTATTTTGCTGATTGGAAATATTAAATTTAATCTATTAGCTTGAAATTAAAACTAAAATAAAAGCTTCAAGAAAGATTTCTTATTTTCAAAAATTAATTTTAAACTTAAGTATGTTTTTTTTTTTTTTTTTTGTGTGTGTGTGTGTGTGTGTTCTATATTAAGTTACATTTTAAATTAAATTGATATTGTTTACTTAATATTAACCAACAACAAATTCCTTTTACTGTGTCAACTGTTATTGGTTGGCTTTCTGCAATGTATTACTTTTCATGGTAAACATTAGTTATGTTACTGTCCTTTAAGATTTTTATGTGTTAGGAATGCAGGATGCACACTTATCAGCATTTATGCATCTTAGTATATAAATACATACTAAGATGCATAAGGTAAATATATTTCTAATGATTTGACTTGTCAACATCTTTATCAAATGTGCTTTAACTCTTATGATTATATTTTGTCTTAATTCCTCTTCTCTTATTAGCAGTAACTCCCCTTTGCATCTTAGTAGCTTTATTGCCTTGTTTGGAGGGAAATGAAAAAATAAACATGAAATTATTTTCATTATTTACATTATTTGGACTATTGTTCTCATCTTTGTCACCATATTTATTACAATGTTTTGGCCATTGTATGCTCCGGCCTTCTTCAAGTAGTTGGACTGAAGGGGACACATGGCACAGTGGATAAAGGCATTGGTTAGATCCAGTGACAGGACCCAAAGAGTGTGAGTTCAATACCCGGTTAAGGCAGTGAAGAACTTGGAGAGGGGAATTAACAGGAGATAACTGATAACTGACATCCATTAAACATGGCATGTGGAAGTAGAACAGTCTACCCCAGAGAGCGAAATAAAGGGTTCAGTTCGACATTCTAACCACCTGAAGAAGGCCGGAGCGTATAACAGCCGAAACATTGTAATAAATATGGCAACAAAGATGTAAATAGTGTACATAATACCTCATCTCAGAAATATAGACAGATACTGAAATTATTTTGTTTTGTGTACTGTATATATTGTGTGCTTTTATTAAATTTTTATGCAAAAATTAGGTGTGGTGCACTATATTGTTTTAAGAGTTTAAAAATCATGCATTTTCAGTGTCTGGTTGTGCGATATAAAGGCAATTTTTTTTTTTTTTTTTTCCAGGGTGGTTTTAAAATTCATGCAAAAAAATTCAGGAGTTGCACTATACATGAAGTTGGTTTATACATGATTATATATGGTAATTAATTTTTGTTTTTTTGTTTCATTTGATAGCTAACCTGAAGAGTCACTATCGGATTAATCACTCAACTGAGCACCAACTGCAGTGCGATGTTTGTGGTTTTACATCATCATCAAGAAAAACCTACAAAGAACACATCAAAACTCATGACACTGACCGTCCCATCAAATGTCACATGTGTGCATACCAATGTTCCCGAAAGAGTGCCTTGCTCAACCATTTGCGCACTCACAGTGAGGAGAGGCCATTTCGCTGTGACTTCTGCACATACACTTCGAAGCAGAGTAGCAATGTGAAAACACACATGAAGAAAAAACACTCTGATAAACTGCGACAGAAAAAGAAAGCTGTGTCTCGTAAAGGTATTGAGATAGCTGACAAAGTTGTTGTAGTCAATGAGGAGGTGAATTGCCCAACACTTCCTGCAGCAACACCTTCCAGCATAGATAGCATTAATGGCGGACAGGTACGTATAAAACCAAACTGTAAAAAGACATATAACTGCCAGCAGTGTGATGCATCATTTGTGAGGCAGGATTCCCTGCGCAGTCATGTGCGTCAGCATCGAGACATTGAAAAAGCACTGCAGAGTACGGCAATGGCTGTACTTCAACTCCAAAATCCTGTCGGATCCCTTAACCAGCAGAATTCAAGTAACGACACTCCTGGCACCACAAATCAGACATCGTCACAGCATACCCAAAATGCAAGTGAAACCACTACTGAACAATGTCTTGCTGCCACTGTACCGGCAGTCTCGACATCAGAGACTGTGTCAAAGTCTGTGTCAAATTCAGCCCCATTATTATCATGTACTTCCTCGATTTCATCTGCACCAAATCCCAAAACCAGCAAAGACAATCTAGCATTCCAGCAGTCTCTTCTGAATATGAGTAATGTTAATGATACACAGATCTCCAACCAAGACCATTCATTATCGAGTCGTTTATCTCCACCAAAAAACATTTTGCCCAGTTTGAATCAACCAGTAAGTATTACAACCATACCTCCAAATGACATCTCATGCTCACCACAATCTGCTGAAAACATTCAAAATCTCATAAGTATTGCTCATAACAACCCAAGCATCATCTCCATGTCGAGAGACCCAAATGACAACAAAGGGATCATCATATCACAAAATAACATAATCAACTCCTCAGTGTCAAATAGTCTAGAAACACATACAATCAATCTCCCACAGCAAAATCTATCTCAAATTGGGACACAACAGGAACAGATCACAGACAGTATATCCCAGACACCTCAATGCTTGCCTGGAAATACAATCAGCACTCCACTATCCACAATGGCCACTACATCTCAGACGAATGTTTCTCAGGTCCTCCCATCATCAGTTACCAGTCCTGGGGTTAGTGCTAGTGCCCAGAGTGTTGTCAATGGTTTTTTGCTAAACAATCAACCACAACAAGGCACCATTGTGACGCCGCAGTTCCTTCCAAATTCAACTGCACTGCAGTTAATTTCAAACATATCTTTACCATTTTTGCGAATGCCTACTACGCAGCTCGGAACACAAACAGCTCAGATTTTACCAAACCAAGTTTTGGGTCAGCATCAAGAACCAATCAGCATCATGAGTTCGCCTTTAAACCCGACACTGAGCACACACCACCAACACCAGCAAAATCCGCCCGAGATTCCAATTCAGTTAATTTCTCAGCGCAGCCAGCAACAAAACACCATACCGATCAATGTCCAGATCTCACAGATTAATATAGATGCTGCTACAACTGCCATTCGAAATGAGATTCTTGAGCAGTGTACTTCTGGTGCCATGTCAGCATCTGTCCAGGTAATCCTCCCACCCAACCTACAGCCTGCAGCCATACCCCAAGTGTGCACTCTGGCTTCTGCATCTACTTTGGACAATACAGCAGCAATCCCCACCTCGGCTACTGGTGAGATCCTTGTTCAGGTGTCGAGTTGTGACCAGACGTCTCCAAGTACTTCATGTCTTCCTCTGGACCAGTCTAACAGTTCTGTGACCATTCCTTCAGCTGCTGCTTCACTCACTTCATTGCCAGCTAATTTAATTCCGGTTATTGAGCAGAGCTTACCAACTACCGCTGATACCAGTACCCACTGTAAGTAGCCATGATCAGTCAACATTGCCATCCTTAATTTACATTATTTATTCAAGTAGTTCCAGTAAAAAATAAAATATGAATTTAAATAATATTGTGTCAAGAGAGGCTCATAGAGGTGCAAGATAACCTGATGATATTTAAATATTTAAATATTGTGTCAAGAGAGGCTCATAGAGGTGCAAGATAACCTGATGATATTTAAATATTGTGTCAAGAGAGGCTCATAGAGGTGCAAGATAACCTGATGATATTTAAATATTGTGTCAAGAGAGGCTCATAGAGGTGCAAGATAACCTGATGATATTTAAATATTGTGTCAAGAGAGGCTCATAGAGGTGCAAGATAACCTGATGATATTTAAATATTGTGTCAAGAGAGGCTCATAGAGGTGCAAGATAACCTGATGATATTTAAAACATAGCTAAAAGAATTGAATGTATTGAACTTTGTCAGAATTCAAACTCAACTTTTGTTAATTTCTTTTTCTGAGTTGATAACCATTACACCATTGCCCTTGTATGGTAAATTAATCATAAGATGGTGTTTGCATGGAGGGGGGGTCGTCACCAAAATATACAATTAATCTTTGTAATGCAAGTAAAAAAGTGGTTCAGAGAATAAGTTGAAGCAATAAGTGTTTTATTATTATTATTATTATTATTACTAGAATGTTTGTACAACATGTGTTGAAATCCTCACAGTATTTAGTATTGTTGAAGTTATTGTTGTTAATGTGTTTTGTTGAGATTCACAAACTCTGTTTCATTCAGTATCACAAACCAATCGATGAAATTTGAATAAGCTTATTTGTTTGGAAAAATACTTTGACAAAATCTCTACTTTACAGTTTAAATTTTATAGGACTTCATGGTAAACAATATTTTTTAAGAAAATTTCTTTTTTTCCTTTTTAACAATGAATTCTTAAGATTTCTTACGCTTGAGCATGTAGCAAGCAAATAGCCATGCATAACTATTTCCTTTTGGAGTTATATTCCAACTTTTTGAAGTGTTTAGCCTTTTGGTTTGTTTTCACAAATATAGGGCAAACTGGAAACCTGGATTTTTGTAGATATAAAAACTTAAAGATATGCAAAAAGCAATATTGTGTAAAATATTTTAATCATTAAATTATTTTAAAAATGTTGTGAGTATTTTGTATGTTAAATAATAAAACTTAATTTTTCCCAAAAAAATATGAATGAAAATTTATTGTACTAAGATATGCACCCTAGTAAAACCAACTGTACTTTGTAACCCCTTACCTGTTTGCACTTCTCCCTAAAACTTGATTTTGATCAGTCAGTATATGGTTATTTTAGAGGTTCTGATAGACAGACTAATGAAAGTAACAGAATTTTATATATAGATAGATATATAGATTATTATTATTATAATCATTAAAACCCTCTTGCCAAACTTGCTATTTGGTATTAATTGCTCAAAATGGTTTTGAATTAATTTTTGGTGCCATTTGGTTGTCCTAGTTTCTGACTGCTTAGAATTTGTTTTCTGTGTTGGTGCTGACCATTAATCTCGCTTGGGGGCAAAGGTGGTTACATTCATCCTAAAAGAAACTGCATGCTTATATTCTAATTTCATCTTGCATAATTACCTTATCAAAAGTTATTTGATAGGGGAAAGAAATAAGTACGCATCATATATTCTGCATCATACGCTGGCTTCTGATGCAGAATATTTGGCTGTATCAGATTGTCTCTGAAAAAGAACAAGAATATCTTTGTCCAAAATGAGATGTGTAGCTCAAATGACTCCTAGAATTATAGAATATATCTTTGTATATTTGAAGAAGGCCAGAGAATAGCTTGGCTGAAATGTTTTGGTACCACCAAAAATGAGACAAGTAGCTCAAATGACTCTGAATGACAATGATTCTTCCCAAGATTATAGAATGTAAAAATTGATTTTTTTTTTTATTTTCATCCATAAAATGAGAGAGAGAATTTTAAACAGGTTACACATGTTCTGTTAAATTTTCAGAACCTTATAAAATATTTTATAATGTACCATAATTCTGTCTAAAGGTCATTGATTAAGGTATTTCATATTTAATTTTTTTTCCTTTTTTTTTTTTTCTTCTAATTCTAAATTCATTTTCTTTTCTATTTTAGGAGTTGGTTCATCAAAGATCAAAATGTTTTCCAGCATGATATTTTCTAACCTCCACAAGGACAGTATTGTTCAATTATAAGTCTTCTGGCCTTATTGGATATTTCTCCATTCTTTTGTTCACAGATTAAAAGAAAAAGTTATATATTTGTAAATATATGAAAAAATAATATCTTCACTGCTATAAGATTATGTAGATACAGTCAAGACTACATCTTTTGGTCAGATTTAGTTGAAAAGGACATTTTTGTTTGCTATGTATCTTATTTCATGGCATGTAATGTGCACTTTTAAAATCAAATTTAGTACCTAATAATAATAAGTGCATTTTATGTGAAGTGGAAATTTGGTGGGCAATATTGAAATCTGAAAATTGCTAAGATTCTGATAATAAATAGCTAAGAAAATTCAGCTGCACTATATTAATTTCTTTTTGTCATCTAAATTTGATATTTATACTTCTTCCATGAATTTTAGTTTAAAAAGGACATTGCAGTGAAATACAGTATTTGTCCATGAAAACAGAAATACTTAAGACATTGACTGCCAACTACGAGATAACTGCCAATTCTAAGTTATCTTGTACCAATAAATTCGTTGATTTGCAGTGATGCTTGTAGTGTGAAAACACTGTTAAGATATCACTTGAAGCTACAAATGAACTAAAAAAATTTTGTTGACTGTTGTAGAGTTGGCATTAGAAGTCAGATTTTGTAATTGACTTCTGGCAGTCAATGTGTTAAACAAGTCACAATCCATGATTTATATGATCCATTTACTATGTGATTGAGGGTCCATAAAATGCCATCGCAAAAATGTGGGGTCACACAAAATCAGGGTTCAAGAAAATGTAAAGATGTGCAAGTAGAAAGAAAACTAACAAACTTTACCTTTTTTAATAGGTAAATTTGAAATCAAAATGACCAGGTGTAATATATATAAAAGGTGTAATATATAAAAGTATAGTACTTCTGTCCTATAATTGTTGTTACATTTAATGTATGAAATATATTAGTAAAGAAAATAATATGGATATACTTTGCATTAAATCTGATTTCATTTGAAATGGACGCCATGTAAAACTATGGTTTATAATTAAGATGAAAGCAAATACTATTACAAATGAATAATAATGGTTGACAATTGCTAATAGAAAATTAAAATAATATGGTTGCTGCTATTACTAATACTACAAGTAAATATAGCACTTATAAAGTGATGTGTATATAAGCTAGATGCTGGTTATTCAACTAGACTTTCTTGAAGCAAAAGATGTGTGGGTTCAAATCTTACCTAGAGCTTATTTATTTCCAATTCTGTACTGTAGATTGACAGCGTAAGTAAAAGTTAAAATAAAATGCAAGTTAGAACATTAAGATCAAAGTAAATGCTCATGTAAAAATGACCGTTTTGTTTGATAGATTTAACCAGAATGATATCGACTGGAGAGGTGCAGTTAAAAAAATAAAAATGTGATTAATGGGGGGAGGGGGGTGAGAGAGAAGAAAATTTATTTTTTTATTTACATAAGTGATGCAAATAGCTTCACTCTGCTTTCACACTACTGCAATCAACCAAAACATTCCAGGTTGCCTTGATGATCCCTATAGCATGAAACTTGAGTATTGATTTGAACTTTGTCTCTTTCCAAGTGTAATTTCTCTCTGTTGGTAATTTACACACAGTGCTGTTTATTAATGTCTTGGTAGGTGCCTTTCTTTTGACCGTTTTAGTTTGTTTTCCTTTCCCCCCTTTTCTTCTATCAGTTTTTCTCCTTGCTTTGTTTGATTGGTTTTTGTCTTTTTTTCTTTTTATGAGTTTTTACTTTGGTCGCCTGGTAGGCTTTGTATTGGTATTACCAATAATTTGAGTTTTGTGTTACACACACACATATATATATATATATATATATATATATATATATATATACATATGGCCTGACAATTGCGTCTAGCATGAAACAGCCTGTCGACTCTAAGTGTTAACTTCAATGTTCACTTTTATATATATATATATATATATATTGTATATATAAAAATCTCCTTGGAAAATTCAGACAGTTTTTGTTCACTTGAGATCAATGTGCCATTGTGATAAGACATTAATCTTCTTGCCTAATGTCTTTATAAAATGAGGTCTTGTTACTGGCATATCGTAATGGTTGCTGAGGAAGAGTGCCGGGAATAACATTTGGCCATCAACTCTCTTACATATAAAAGCTTACAGTTATGATTATATGCAGTCTTAACAGTCTACTTTATACATACTTCAGATGACTGGAAGATTTTAGGAAACAGACTGTCACTGCTCAGTGTTGACCTCAGTGTCCACTTTGGCAGCAATAATTCTTTCAAACATAAATAATATCAACAAGTACTTTCAAATTTTTTATTCAATTTTAAAAATTTCCGAATTAGTTGTTTTATGTTATAGGTAAATTTACCAAAGTTTTTAATTTATGGGTCTCATGTTTGATGAAATCAATTTCAATTCACTCAAAGTGACATCATATAAATAAGTCAAACTGAAATTTTTGTGTGTGTGTTATTTTTTTTTCTTTAAGTACACTTCAATATACTCTATTTTATGTATGTTTAAAACAAACAAACACACACACATACATACATACATAAAAATTTCAGTTTGGGTGGTGGGGTTATATGATGTCACTTTGTGTAAGTTGAAATTGACTTCATCAAAGCTGAGAAAACCTGAATTAAAAAATAGTTGCATGAAACAATCCTTGAAAAGAATGGAGTATTATTTGAAAGTTCTTGGAGAAGTGAGGGTGGGGGATAACATAAAATAAAAGTTAATATGAATTTTGGCAAATTTACTTATAAATACAAAACAACTTATTTGAAATTTAAAAGATTTAATAAAAATTGATAGACAGTTTGTCTGTATTATTTAACAAAACATGTTTCAGAGAATTTTTGCTGCTGAAATACATCTTAGATATTTTCAATAAAGTGAATATAAAAATCTTTAGAAACTGTAATTGTCTTAACAAAAGTGATTTTTTTTTTCTTCTTTTAAGATCAAATAACTCCAAATGGAAAGAAATAAAATTAATAAACTTAGAAAAGGTAATATATTGACAGGTTTCTGGCCCCAAAATTCACTTTTGTTAAGAAGAGACAATTTGGTTTAAGACAAAAGGAAAACTATTCTTAGCTGATGCATTTCATCCTCTAAGGGACTTTATCAAGGCAAATGTTAGGATTTATTTTGTTGCATGTGTTTACATGCAAGAGCAAGGATGTCATAGGTTTATCAAAGCTTTTAAATTTGAGAACGTTTATTTATTTATATATATATATATATATATATATATATATATATATAAATAAATAAACGTTCTCAAATTTAAATATAAACATATTTTTAAATTATATATATATATAAATGTTCTCAAATTTAAAAGCCTTGCTAAACCAATGACATCCTTGCTCTTGTATATAAACACATGCAGCAAAATAAATCCTAACATTTGCCTTGATAAAGTCCCTTAGAGGATGAAATGCATCAGCTAAGAATAGTTATATATAAAGTTTTAAGATAGGGATCATTATTTAATGTTTAAAATCGAATAAAAATAAATATAACCTAAAGCACCTTTTGACCAACACCAAAATAATTGTTGGTATTAAAATACTACTTTTTTTTTATTTATATTACCTTTTATCTCAACTCTCAGACCCTCATTTTATGATCATTAGCAAGCACCATGGATCAGAAATAAAGACAAAGTAAGATTTGAACTTGCATTCCTGTCATCAGACCTTTGACTTTATGGAGCAGCTGCCTTTCCAATTAAGCTACAAAAATAAATCAGAATCTGTAATTCAAATCTTGGAATGTGTCTGAATTTCAAGTTTATTCTTTATGTTTACAGAATAATGATCTGGAAGTTGCATTAAAAAATGACTGAAATTAAGATGAAATAAATACTAGTTGTTAATGATTCCTATAAGAAATTTATTCTACTTAATATTTGGTTTAAAAGAAAGAAACAATTTGAAAATCAATTGACAATGCTTCATGTAATTAAAGTAATATTTACTTAACCTTGTTAGAACAAATACTGAATAAAATCCTTTGTTGATGGAGAAATGTTTTCTTCATTTCTATATTTCAAATTCATAAATCGCTCCATCAGATCTAGACTTTCATATAGATATCATGTGAAGCATCTGACTTATTCAGAAATGGTTAAATTATCAGCTATATACAATTGTTTTGAGTGATCAATGATTAAAGATAGCTTTGAGCCTTACAGAATACAAATCTTATAGACTGGGGCTATATAATCATAAAGAACTTTGCCAAATAACAAAAACTACTTCACTTGAAAACTTCCAACAGCAGCAACAATTCAAATGGATAGCACACATAGCTTAAAGGGAAATTAATGATATAATCAAAATGTTGACCTTCCATACTACCTAAAACAAAAGGTTAGGAAGGAAACTCCCATCTATAATAGAAAGTGATAACGATGGACTTGAGAAACCTATTTTCCTGAAAAAAAAACAAAAAAGCAATGTTTTAAGAGAAAGATTTTATGAATTTTAATCAACAGTAATGCTAACTGCTCAGTCAATGAATGCTTAATGTTCCCTTTATGTAAACGGCTAATTTTACCATTAGAATTACTCATAAATTCTGCAATGCCTGACAGGGATTGAACACGACTTTTAGGGAACAAGATTAACTTTATCAGTGTTTTTATTTACTAGATCATACCTTGTAATACTTTCAGGTTGTGATGTTTCATTTTCCTCGAGTTTTAAGCTAATAACAGATGCTGAGTGGTGTCGTGCTTACTAGCATGGGAAATAGCTTCAGCTAAGGCTGCTGGCAATCACATACCCCCCCCGCCCACCGGGAAGAGTATGAATCTACATCTCTCTTCATCTAGAGGTAAATGGCAGGACAGTTGGAGCATATACAGGAATAGTTATCTACTTTACATATATAGGTGCCCGTGCATATACAGAAGTAGGTATACGGTAGGTTGAGTATAATTGATAGGTTTATATAATCAA